GTTCTTAAATGAAAGAATCTTAAATGAAAGAATCTGCTTTGTCTTTCAAACTGCAAACGCCCGTCCCTGAAGACAGTGAAAAGAGATGCTGTGCGTCCTGATGGCAAAAAAGATTGACGGTGGCTTTGCCCGTGACAACGCCCCCAGCATCGCGCAGAGCCAGGTTCCCTAAGAACCGCGAGGGGGAAACAGAGGTCCGGGAGCAGGGAACAGCCTAGGCAAAAGCATCTTAGGAAGATGGGAAACGGGAACCCCAGGGGCTGTAGGTTGATAGAATGAGTTAAAAAAAAAAACCTGCCTTTGATAGTGAAACTTCGAGGAGGGGATGAGATCCCTCTTCAGGTAACTCCCTTCCGATGAAAAACAGATGAATGCACAGGGAATGCCAAGCAACAACAAGTTTGAGGTGAGCAGCAAGTTGTGCACCTCCTCTCCGGCGTTTCATCCGTAGCCCCCAGCAGCCCCCAGCACACACGCTCCCCGTCCCAGGCGCTGGCGCCCGCGGCCGTAGCCACAGCAGCAGGAGGCGCGGCGGCGGCAGCGGCGGCAGCTGCGCGCCTCCGGCCCAGCCCCGCGCGGCTCCCCCTCTCGCCCGCGCCCTGCCTGTCTTGCGTGTGCGTGTGCGTGTGCTCAGCCTCAGCGTGAGGGGCACCTGCTTGGCTGGGCTCACAGCGGAGGCAGCCGCGCCGTGAGCTGCCGCCGCCGCCGCCGCCGCTGGTGCTGCCGCTCTCCAGCGCCAGGCTCCCCGCCGCCGCCACCGCCTGCTCGCCAGCCAGAGTTGGGCTCCGTGGGGCTTCCCCCCGCGTAGCCTCGGTCCTTCCCCGCTGCCTGCAAGTCAGCCTGGCTCCGAGTCACGTGTCAGTGCCTGAGGCAGAGACCGAGAGAAAAAAACGCGCTTCATTCCTTCTTCCACCGCCATACTGTATTTTATACTAAATCACATTTTTATTCCAACATTTTACTCCCGCTCGGTGAGTACCTTCTCAGTGGCATTCTTGTCCTATTCTTTTTTTTTTAATCCTTTTTTGTTTTTGTTTTTTTTCTTCTTTTTTTTCCACCTCTTTGATTATTGTTTATATTTGGGAAACCTGGAGGAGCATGGTTTTGAGCCTTTTCCTGAATCCAAGTTTTTCTAGCATGCAATGGTTCTGTAGACGAGGCGCTGTGTCTGGGAGTCCGCGGCAACCCTACCCGCTGGGAGCGACTCCCAAGTCCAGCACAATATGCAACTGGTTTTATGGAAAAAGCAATGTGAAGTATGGTACTTAATTTTTTTCCTTTGTAAAAATTAAAAAAGCATGTTTCTAACTTTTTTTATTTTTGCATACTCTTTTTCTGATAACATTTTTTTTGATAGGTGGGATTTTACAGTCGAATTTACAAGTTTGTGGTCTTGCAATTCTGGTGCTAACCACTGAGCAAAGATATTAATTTTCTAAAATTTTTTGGTGCTCTTTTTGGAAGCTGGTAACAAAAAAAAAAAATCTGTTTTTTCCCCTCCTATTTTTGATACCTATTGATAACATGAAACTTTTCTTGCAGCTGGATCCTGGGATCATTTTTAAGCAAAACTCTTTTTTCCCCTCCTTTGTATTATTAACTATGACTTTTGCGCATTTGACTTTTTTTAAAAAAACCGAGATAATTTTATGATAGATATCCTTATATCTATATATTATCCTTTCCTTTCCCTCCCCTCCCCATAAATCAATTTTCAAATGATGGCAGTGGAAGGTTTTTCTGGAAAAAAAAATGAAGTGCGGTTTGGTTTCCTTGTCAACGGAGGATGAAGTGAACAGCTGAGCAGCTCGCAGAGAGCAGGTACTTGGTCCTCTTGGAGGCGTTTCTCGGGTTTGCAATGGCAACACTGGTCCTGGCAAAGAAATCCGTGTATGTTTGTGTGTCTCTGCGTGTGTGTGTGCGCGCACGCGTCTCTGGGCAGTGTCCCTGGTAGGGAAAGCCGCGTCGCCAGCCAGGGGAAGAAGCCAAAGTGCGTGCCCGGGGCCTCGGGGGTCATTTTTTGAATGTGTCCAAAACACGCTCGCTCCTTGGGTTGCGCTCTGGCCGTGTCCGCGGCAGACAGTGTCTGCACCGCAAGCGTAGCCGAACTGGGATGCTGCTGCCTGCGGGCCCAGTAAGTTCTTGGAGGGCCACTCGCAGAGCTGGAGGGGCGAGGGCCTGGGCTGCGGTGCTGGCCATCAGGCGGGCCTGGGCCACCCCTCTGCGCGCCCTGGAGATGGAGAGGCGGCAGGGGTAGCATCCTCTCCGAGGGGCTGGCTTCTGGCCACTGTACCGGGAGCTGGAGTCTTTGCCAGATCCTTGAGGATGACACCAGCCCCACACCCTCAATTCCTGCCCCTCCCCTTTGCTCTGAGAAAACCCGGCTGAAGGGTTTTTCTTGCCTTTTTGCTTCTTCAGAAGGGGTTTGCTTTCTGAGTGGTGCTGTCTTCTGATCTTTCCCTTCTCTGTTGTCTTGCTTTGCCTTTAAGTGCTTGTTTGCGTCTTCCAGGGGATGGGGAAATAATAGTTACTTCCTTGATGGCCCTCTTTGATTTCTTGTTAGTTTGCATTAATGAGAATGTGTACCTAAGTACAAAATAGCCTTTTGATCAAGTTAGAAAGGGACAGTGTTTTTTTCCTCTTTTTTGCCACCTGATAGTGGTTGCAAAGGATTTTTCCTGCTGACAACTGAAAGTGGGAGTGGTGGAGGATTTAATTGATTTCCAAGTGTCATTAACATGAAAATGCTCAGTGTTAATTGCACTAAGCTGGGGTTTATTTTCTTCTGTTTGCATTGTTACATGTTTCCAGTAGAGTCACAGCACACTTTCTCAGAGATGCATCAGTTGGAATAACGCCCTTTCTGTACTTAACACAGTGTCAGCTTCTTACTTTAACGCTTAAATAAAACATCGCATATGTTTAAATTATTTTATTTTCAAGTTGTTTTTTTTTCTTTCTGAGAAGTTCAGCCTTAAATTTATCATATGTGTATCTATTTTGGATTGTTTTAAAACAAATATAAAGTAGATGAAGTAACTTCTTACCTTTTAAACAAGCTTTCCTCTAGGTTCTCTATAGACATAAAGCATAACTCCAAAATGGAGAAGGGGGTCATAAGAAAAGAGGTTTAAAAATACATGAATCCTTTTCAAATAAGTTTTGCCCTAGCTCTCTAACTTTAGTTTGTGTCATTGAAAAGTTTTATGCCTGTGTATTTTACTCTGGTGATGTTAGGTGTGCAAAGAATCATTCAGTTATAGAAGATTAAAATGTGTTCTTTAGAGATTTGTTCATTTTTATTCAGAGCACAGATCATTGTGGTGACTGTGTATGAGTTACTTTTTTTAATTCAAGGCAGCTTTTATATGTTAAGGCCAGGCCTATTGCATTTATTTAAGGAATACAGTTTATATCACTTGTCGGTCGATTACCAGACTTGTTATCTTGAAGAGCAAAAGTTTTAAGATTTGATGCAGACATGGTGTTAGCGAGCTTTGAATGTTGATTTTCATTTTTTGAGTTGTAGAGAATTCATTGTTGATATGTAGTCTTTTTTAAAGTTTATATCGTTAATATAAGCAAAAAACGTTTTCTACATCTTACCATTTATATCATAAGTATAAATACTGATTTAAAATTCATAATATCTTGAGAAGTTTCCTTATCATGTAATATATGAAATATATCACAAAGACACACACACACACACACACACACACACACACACACACACACATTAGGGGAGAGAGAGAAAGAGAGCAAGAGAGGACATTTTCTTTGAGAGTCAGTCGATTCTCAAAGGTTGAGATAGTTTGGTTGATGCATAACACTGCTTGTACTGTGTCATGTTTCTGAAAAAGATTGAAAATATATGGGGTTGGATTTATAGAATTTCAGTGTGCTTTTAAGTCTAAATATACTAAGAACTGTTAGACATGTTTTCATTTATCTAATATCTTCCTTTTATATATGTTATCATATAAGATTATGTTATCATATAAGAGTACATCCTTATTTTTCAATTTCCTCCTTCATGAATAATATGGAGAGTTCTCTGACTCTTTTAACAGATCACTTCTGTGAGTTTTTGGTTTAAAATCTTTGAATATAGCATCTGAGTTAGCACCGCCTACTGGTTTCTCACAGAAAATATCTTTTTCTTTCACTTGGCAACTCTCCCTGTGGATCAGCTTTCCAATGCAAATCACTTTAAACTTGCTACTGTGAGGAAAAAGAAAAATACATTATTCTTTGTGAAGAAAACTTTTGGGAAGTGAAGTCTGAGGAGGAAGGAAAAGCAGACACACACACACAAAAGTATTGGACCTGTAACTGACCTTAAGTGTTGTACTTTATTGATTGTGACAAGAAAATAGTCCCAAACTTTAGGAAATTTGCATTTTCTTTAACTTTGTGTGGAATACCAGAATTTAGATGTTCTGTCTTAGTTTTAAATATTGTAGAGAAAGTAAACTATAGCTTTTACCACAGTGTATATTTTTTTCTCATGAAATTTTAAATTGGTATATTTTAAAACTTTACTGAATGATTTGAATCTAGCAGCTCCGTGGGAGAAGGATTGGCAATCTCTTACAGTGTGATTTATTGCCTGTGAAAACTTGCTTGACGGTCATCTATGGGTTGGTTCTGACTTGTTGGCACACAACAAAAATGAAAATTACAAAAGATTAAATAAACTATTTATTTTTTTTATATCTATCATTAAATTGCACTCACTTGAACTACTTTATGTAGTATATGCCTAACATTCATGCTGTCGTGATGTTAGGTGTTAAAAGGAAAAAAGTCAAGATTCAGAATCTATATTCAATTATTTTATATCCATAACAATGAAAGAAGTATTGATTTATTTTTTCAGTGATAGCAAATTTTCTTTAATTTCGGAAAAGTAGTTAAAAGAGTAGTTATTTATTCGTAATTATGCATTTTTTTTTACAAATGATGAAAATACAGAGTAAAATAAGGACATAGAAAAACAAAATAAGCAAATTTTATATGTGGGAAACTATATTTTCTTAGAAAAATTGTATACTATTTGAATAACTCTTTATTAAATATTCTTTATTAAACATCTGCTAAGAAGGATACAGAAAAGTTTCCATTATTAAAAGCATTCCATGGAGTCAGAGTAAACATCAAATCAGATACAACGCCACCCTTTAAGATCTCTGAGATCCTCTTCCAGAAGAACAAAATATGTGAAATGGATATTTAGGATTGTTTGCATTATAAAAAAGAAAATTGAAGAAGACATTTTAATTGTATTTTTATGGATCTACTCTGTTTTCTTACTCCTAATGCCTTTTATTTAAAATGGTATTTGCTGTGACTTTGAGGGGGGAAAAAGTTATTTTTTCCAATATTTTCATTAAGGAAATGTAGCTTGAGCTATAAATAACTTGAAGTAAAGCTGAAACTTCTTCACGGTGTTGCTTTTTTGGGAGGTAGATAACTTTTTTCACATCGTTGTCATTCTGTATCATCAGTTGGAACCAATTCATAGTTAGACCCACCAGCGGGTTTTCAGAGGCTATAATTAAGGGAAGGAGATTGCCCATCTTTCTCTGTCTGAGCAGCTAGTGGATTTGAACCAAGGACCTTTCTTTGTGTTGGCAGAGCAATTCTTCACCAGCCACTGGAGCTCATTAATCTGTAATTACTAAGGTTTTACAAATTACCATTATTATTAGGATTTGCTATTTCCAAGTAATTGATATAAATGTCCTTTAACTTCAATGTTTATTTTAAATTTGTGCTTAACATATCATTTGAATAAGTTATTATGATTATTTTTTACATTCCATAAATTTATTTCTTAGTTTTTCATAATAGTTAAATGAGTGCAAAATGAGAAATTACTTTTATTTGCTATGATTTTCAGAAGAAAAATTATTATATAAAATATAGTAGGTGACTATGAATCTATCAAAAACTATTTACAGGTTTA